TACCTGCGCTGGGCGCTGCAGTCGCGCGCCTCCGCGGCGGGCAAGCCCGCACTGAGCGTCGCGGACGCGGACATGCGCGAGGAGCGCGGGCGGCGGGAGCGGCGTCGCCCAGCTTTTTCTGTTTTTGTTTGTTGCGGGGGGGGGGGCGGTGTCGCCCAGAGCTGCGGCGATGCAAGAACAAGTCGAACGAAGAGAACCACGCACGTGCACCGATCCTGGTCAGGCCCATCCTTGGCCCAAGGCCGGTGTAGATGCCTTGCTGGTCAAGGCAGGAGGGCGTACGCATCGGTCCTGGGCTCAGGATGGAACGGGCAAGAATCGGTGCATGTGCAGAGTCTTCTTTCGTTTAGGAAGGCAAGAATTTCTGTGTGGTTCCTCGTGCCATTACATGTCTTTTGCGATGGGCCTCTTCCGTCAATCGGAAAGCCAGCCACACTCCTTTACAGGATCCTTTCACCATTCGTCATGGAGCCTTCACTGGCGAGGTCATTTCGAGGGCCATCGTCTTCGCCAACATACTTATTCCATACTATCGCAGATGCGCCATCCGTCGCATCCACGACGGAACGTGTGTTTCGTTCCGAGTGTGGTTTTCCTCGAGTTCTGTTCCTTCCTGCCTGTCCCTGCTGGTACCTCAATTTGCTTCGCATGTGCCCCATCGTGGCTTGACCGCAGCCCGGGCCCGAGACGCCGCAGATCAGACAAGCTGTCCCTGGAGCTCTGCACGTTCGGAGGGTACTCTTGCCGTCCCGCGGCCCTCCCCCCCGTGATCCTCCTGCATTCCCCTGCCACCACCACCACCACCACCACTGAGCGAAGCATCCGGAAGGACGCGTGGGCAGGAGAGTGCGCGATTGGGAGCTCTTCGTCGACAGCAACCAACGTCTTGCGTGCACCCTCGATCCACGGTCCTCGATCCACGATCTCCCCTCTGTCCACGGATCCTCGAACCTCGATCCTCACCCTCGCACCTCGATCCTCGCGTTTCGATGCTCGCGCTCCGGCCCTCGCTCCACGGCTGTCCCCTCCGCCCGCGGATCCTCGAGTCTCGATCCTCGAGCCTCCCTCCTCGAGCTTCGGTCCTCCATCCACGAGCTCCCCCTCCGCCGAGCTCGCACCTGCAGCGCTCGCCGCCCCCCGCGGCCATCCCGGCCAGGTGCCGCGCAGGCGGCCCGAGCTGGCTCGCCGCGGGCGGTCCTCCGCATGGCCGCGCGCCGGGCGCCGCCGCCCGCGCGATGGCGTCCGAGAAGCGGCCCGGCGGGCAGCGCGCCACGCTGCAGCACCTGCAGGCGTCGGCTCCGCTCGGCGACTGCGGTCTGGGCCTCCCGGACCCAGATCTCCTCCTCCTCCTCGTACTCCTCCTCCTCCTCCTCCTCTCCTCCTCCCTCCTCCTCCTCCTCCTCCTCTCCTCCTCCTCCTCTCTCCTCCTGTCCTCTATCGTCCTCCTCCTCCTTCCTCCTCCTCCTCCTCCTCTTCTCCCTTCCGTCCCCCTCCTCCTCCTCCTCCTCCTCCTGCCTCCTCCTCCTCCTCCTGCTCCTCCTCCTCCTCCTCCTCCTCCTCCTCCTCCTTCTCCTCCTCCTCATGAAGCGATCTTCAGATGCACATCTTTGTAGCAGTCTGCGCAGGAGAGGGCCGTCCGTCACCATCCTGGCGTAAGTTCATCATGCGCCCGAGCCCTCCAGTCTCGGCCCCGATAGCCTGGCTGGCAACGTGGGCCACGCGCGCGGGAGTGGATCGGGCGTGGCGTGCGCAGGTTTTGTGGCCTGCCCTCGCTGTCCCGACCTCCAGTGCGCGGAGCCGCCCGCGTGCCCGTCCCTGGAGTGCCCCGCGGCCGCGGCGGCGCACTGCCCCTCGCTCAGCTGCCCAGAGCCCGTGCGGGAGCGGCGGGCTGCTGAGGCTGGGGCCTGTCTGCCTGGAGGCGCTGCCGAGGCGCGGGCCCCCGCGCGAGCCGGGGAGGCTCCCGAGGCCTCCTCGGCCGCGCGAGACGGGAGCTGGCCGGCACTGGCGTGGGTGCTGGGTCTGTACCTCGAGCTGCTCGGAGGCGCCGTCGGCGTGACCGTGCACGTGCTGCTGCCTGCGGCGCTATGCTCAGCCCGCGCGTGCTGGCGGACGCTCCTGGCGGTGGCGAGGCCCTCGGCTCCTGCACTGAGCGATGGCGCAGCCGACCGTCCAGGAGTGGGCGTGGGTGCAGTACGCCGGGGCCGCCCTGTTCCATGAACGCTTGGTGCTCGGAGTCTAGACGGGTATTCCAGCGGGAGCGATTCAGGTGCTGGTGCCACGCCGGACAGCGACGTTTACTGCGAGACGTACGGCGGCACCGACGCCAACATCGCTGCCGCCCGCTGGAGCGAGAGCCGACGCTCTCCGCCTCCTGGGGTCCTTCGGGATTCTTACAGGTTCAGGAGGGAGCCGACGCCCGCCGAGCTGCGGGAGTTCCAGAGGCTGGCGAGGATCGCGGCGAGGGATGAGCATGTGCTTCGAGACCGCCGCGTCGGAGGGCCTGGAGTGGAGCCTTCCGGAGGTGCTCTGCTGCCGCTGCTGGCCGATCCAGGGCGCCCGCCGCTGGCCGCGCCGCGTTTCGTTGGGCAGGGGGGCGGAGCTGCTCGAGCGGCGAGAGGTGGAGATGCGCTGGGGGCTGGAGTCCGTCCCGCTGCGCTCGGCGGGGCCCCCGCCGCTGGAGGTGCTGCTGGGGCCGCTCTGCCGGCCGCCGCGGCCGCGGGGGGAGCTCCGGCTCCGGCGCCGCCGCGCCCTGAGGAGCTCGCGCGGGTCGTGACGGAGAGCATCCATGGGCCCCGGCGCTCCCTCGGCGACGCTGGCCTCTACCAGGTGCCTGGCGCTGCGCCTGGGCCGCGCAGACCAGCCGCAGTGCTGCCGAGGAGGATGCCCTTCCGTGGGGCGCGGAGGCCTACGCGCGAAGTGAGACAGTGGCCGACGCCCGCACGATTCAGGAGGGGAAAAAACTCACAGACACAATTCATCGTCGATTCCCAAGGAAATATAGGAAAATATGGGAAGTGGGGGCGAAGACAAAAACACTGAAAATATTAAAAGAATATGGGGGTCATGTTATTTGTGTGTATTTATTTTTGTGTCCCAGGGCCCCTTCAACCACGCCGATAGAGCTCGTGGGGGATCGAAGACAGCGCCGCCCATGGTGCCAGGTGGTCGAGTAGGGGGGCGCGACGCCGTTCATCGACGGGCCCGCGCAGGACCAGGACCGGGGAGTGGGCGACGAGGTTCCTTAATCTTCGGGGAGGCCGGCCGGGAGATCATCATGCGCGTTGGCGGCGGGTCAATCGTCTCCAGCGCGGCGGTCGGGGAGTCGAGGTGCACGGGAACGGGCTTCGAGCCTTGGAGCCCTGGAGAAGGCCGCCAGCTACGATGCGCTCGAGGTGGCGAACTGCGCCTTCCTGGAGATCATCACTCGAGGGTGCCAGCTGGTCGAGCACGCGCACTCCCGCGAGCCCGCAGGTGGCCACGCCGCAGCCGACGAGAAGGACGGGAAGGACAAGAAGAATTGGAGCGAGGGCCGCGGGCGAGCTGGACTCCGAGATGAGAGCGACGTGTTCATGGGGCGCCTTCGCCGGACTGGGGGGGCGCACGGATTGCCCGGACTTGTTGGACTTCGTCGCCCGCGAGGCCGAGAGAGATGCGAGCGCGTTGAGGCAAGTTCGACAGGCGCGGGGAGAAGGCCGCGCCATGGGCAATGGAGCATGAGAAACACCCGTCGGGTCAAGGGCCCGGGCCCGACGGGGGCCACAGGGCCGAATTCACTCGCCAGGCTGGAGTTCCCCGCCGACGACAGCAAGACCTTTTTTTCTCTCCCTCGCCTTCGGGACCTTCGTGGTGACCGTGCGGTGGGGGGGCGTTGCGTGCCGATCTGCTCAAAGGCAGGCTCAGCGCGTCGCGGCCATCGATGCCGTCGCCGACGAGCTCGTAGGCGTCCTCAATGACACGCGCGGGGCGCGCAATGGCGGGTCGCCCTGCCATCCCTCGAGGCTGACACTGGCGCAAAGTATTGCTCTGGATCACCTAGGCCAGCGCGCAGGGGGCACGGGGCCGCCACCCGGCGATCCCGACGGACCAGGAGCCTTCGACGAGCTTCGGCCCAAGCTGGCCCACGACGGTTCCGCGTCGCGGGTCGCCCATCTTCGCGTGGACCTGCTGGACCTTCCTCCCCCAGGGTTTCGGCGCGCTTCTCTGGGCGAGGCCGCGGGCCCCGCTGACGAGCTGATCGAGGCGAGGTGTCTAGACAAGCTGCTTCCCAGCGCGGAGGGGGGGGGGGGGGGGGGGCGAGACTCAAGCTCCTGGGCTCACGTCGGGCGCGCACCGACCCCGCCCTGCGCAGCAGGTGCGCATGTGCCGCGAACCTTCTTGACGTTCGGCGCAGCGTAAGACGTCCGATCGGTTGCCCAACGGCTGGCGATTGACGCGAGGACCCCGAACTGCTTCTTCGTGGGCCCCGACCCCGTGCAGCTCGCGAGCGGAGCCTGCTTCGTCAACCTGCACCTGGGCGCGGGGCCGCCGCTGACCATCGGGGGCGCCGACATCAAGGTGGCCTTCTACGCCATCTCGATGCCGCATCAGCTTCGCGACCTCCTCGGGTTCGACAAGATTCGGGCTTGGGAGCTGGGGGTCACCGAGGCGGAGGGCGCCCCCGCACGGCCTGGGGACTACATCCACCCCGTCATCGCGGTGCTGCCGATGGGCTGGGTGCTGGCCTTGCAGGCGCGCCTGGCGCTGCACGAGGAGCTCGCCCGCCGCGAACCCGACGCCCCCTTCGAGAGCGCCCATCGCCCACGCGGGGTCCGTCGACAACTTCGCGTGCTTGGGCAGGGGCCGCTCCGTGGTGGAGGACGTGGTGACGCGTGTCCGCTGGCGCCCACTGGCCGCCGGCCTGCCGATGCACGAAGTGAAGATCAGCCAGGGCGGCGACGCGATGGGCTGGCACTGCACCGGGCAAGGTCGCTGCTCCGTGTCCTTGCGCAGCGCCTGGCGGCTCCGCCTGGCGCTCCTGCGCGTGGCCAGCCTGGGGAGGGCCAGCGGGCGAGAGGTCTCGGCGCTCCTCGGGCACTTCGCGA